CCAAAGCAAAATATGAACTACAATTTGCAATTTTTAATAATATGGTTTTTGTTTTTTATTTTAATTTAAAAAATCACATTTCATATTCATCACCATCATCATCATTATTATTATTATTATATATTTTCACATTGGATGCACCTGTGTAGCACATGTCCTTCCGCTAATATATATAAAAATGAAAATTTCAGGCCATTTGCCTTTTGTCCATGATGTAATTTTATCTTAACAAATTTACCCTTCTTTTTGTCATATTTGTCATGCATGTTACATCCCTCTACCCTTTAAATTTTTATTTGAGAAAAATTCCTAACAAGTACCTTATACTTTGGGCCTACTGCCAATTTGGTTCCTGAACTTTACAACGTGACAATATGGGACCTAAATGTTCAAAACGTGTCATTCCAGTATCTGCCATTAATCAGTCCGTTAACCAGTTGTTAAGTGACACTTGAAAAAACACAAATGCCCTTCGAGTGTCATCAAGTTCTCTTTATCAACCATTCCTTTATTGGCAAAATGCCCTTTAAGCGTCGGTGGCATTTTGGTGACCCCAACTTTTTTGAATAAAAAAGGCAAAGATTTGGGACTATTGATTTTTTATCGATATTAGATATTTGATAAAGAGGGAATTTATATCTTTTCAAATGTCACTTAACAACCGATTAACGGTAGGTACTGGATTAGCATATTTTAAAAGTTAAAATACTAAATTGTAATAGCAAAGTGGCACCAGACCCAAAGTATAGGATAATAATAGGGAATTTGTCTTTGTTATTTATTAGTAAATTTCATATCTCTTCCTATTACTGGTGAATTCTCTCTATTAACGTACCCCCCCCCATTGCCTGTTCAGTATGCTCTCCACTACATCTGTATTGTTGGGGATTGTTTGTCGGTGATTTCTTTGATGAAGAACAGGGAAAGTACTCCACCTTGTACTGGAACACCGCAAACGAACAAATTCAGAAATTCGCGGTGAAGGTTTTCGTTCTGACACCAGAAACTCGACGTTTGATGTTGGATGCATTTCTCTCGAATTCATCTTTAATTAAACAATCCATCAAATATCAAAATTCGAAGATCGAATTAAAGAAGAAAAAGAAAGTGCATAGACTGATACGGAATTTGATATTTTGATTTGAATTTCTTGTTGGCAGCATTTTCTTTTCTTTTCTTTCTTTCTCTATAGCCGTAATTTGATTTGTTGCGCTTGGAATGAGTATAGATACAAATTTGTAGAGTGTAAAACAAAAATGTTTGGTTCATGTGAATGCAAAGTGGTTCAAGATTTATACACCCATTTTGTAGAGTGCAAAACAAACTGGATTTGCTTTTTCTTAGGCGTAGAGAAGGGAGAGAGAAGAAAAAAAAAGGGAAATTTTTTTATTAGTATCTTATACTTCGGGCCTAGTGCCACTTTGGCCCCCAAACTTTAAAATAAGACAATTTAGTACCCAAATTTTCAAAACATAACAATACAATACCTGCCATTAACTAGTTGTTAACCAGCCGTTAAGTTGCATTTGAAAAAAGACATAAATGCCCTTCGAGTGTCATCTAATTTTTTTATCAACCATCCAAACATTGATAGAAAWTTAACAGCCTCAAATCATTGCCTCTTCCATTCAAGAAAGTGGAGGTCATAAAAGAGGCAATGATTTGAGGCTGTTAATTTTTTGTCAATGTTTGGATGGCTGATAAAGAAAATTAGATGACACTTGAAGGGCATTTGTATCTTTTTCAAGTGCTACTTAATAGTTGGTTAATAGTTAGTTAATGGCAGGTACTGGATTGTCACGTTTTGAAAGTTCGGGTACTGAATTATCGCATTTTAAAATTCGGGGGCCAAAGTGGCAGGCCCAAAGTACATGGTACTAATCGAGAATTTTCCCAAAAAAAATTGAAAAGGCATGGAGAACCGAGGCTTCTTCAGTTGGGTTTGGCGTAGGCGACGTGAAAAGCATACACGACGTAGAGCAAGGGTTTCAAAATTTGACCTCTGTGTCATCTTGATTTGCAGGTAATGTCAAAATTCATCTATTTTATTTTACTTGATTTTAGCATTTTAGTCAGTCCCACTAAAACTCCTTGAGATCTCTATTTTATGTAGCTTGAGTTAGAATATGTTAATCTCCACCTGTCTGCATAAATAGCAGTCTTGCCATCATTTTTCAATGAGTCAATATTATCGTCAGTTGGGTTTTTTTTTAAAGGGAAAATTCCCAATAAGTAACCTGTAATTTAGGCCGAGTGCTAATTTAGTACTTGAACTTTAAAATATGACAATCTAATACCCAGACTTTTATTTTGCGATGATTTAGCACCGACGTTAATTCACTGTTAATCAGTACCATCACGTGATATCAGGTGCAGGTTAAATATTTTCAAAATACCAAAACTAACCTTTATGAAAAAATCTGACCATTTTACCCTTTTCCCTTCCTATTTCCCTTATCCCCTTTTTATCTTCAATTTGGATTGAACGAACGAGAGAAGAGAGGAGACTTCACTCAACTCCCCTCTAGACTTCAATATGGGTTGGACGAACGAAAGAGGAGAGGAGAGTTCACTCAACTCCAACCTTTCTCTTCATTTTGAGCACGCCCATTCCATCCCTTTCTCTTCAAACTCGACTGAAGAAATGACAGAGAAAAGGAGACTCGGATGTTCACATGCAGCCCCTCAAGGATGTATCAAACCGAGCTACTAGCACTCGCAGTTACTGTTATGGTTGTCGAGAGCATCGACCTATGCCCCTCCTCCATCCTCTCCGGCATCCCCTTCGACAATACTTCCATCTTCCTCCTTAGATCACCTGCAAGGAATTCTTTCTTATCAAAATCAATACATTAATTCAAATCAAGTATTTATCATTAATGGAAATCAACCACATAGTACATTAAGAACAAAAAGCTGCTTACATGAAGCATTGCAAACAGAAATGAATAGAAGAATAATCAATTAATGTATAAGGAGAACCAAAAACAAAAACAAAGTAAGACGAAGGGAGCTGTTTAGAATCAGTAGTGAATCTTACGTCTATGAACCGAGACTTTCTATCTGAAACGAAGCACTCCTCGGTCCTACAATTCTTACTGATTGTCAAACTGGATTATGCCATTTCTTGAATCTCCTTCACGCATTCTTCCATTGATATTCCATCTAGTTTTTCTAATAATCTTTGAATAACTACTGTTTGCTTATCAAAGTTAGTACACTTGCGGAACTCGAAATCCTTAATGCATGAGATTCTTTGGAGCTCTTCTAGTTTCTCCTTCAGATCTTTGATTTTCTCTTCCAACATAACACCAACGCTTTTTCCTTCATACATCTTCTTTTTCCCCTATGAAAGAAAGAAGACGATCAAAAACATTGGAAATGGATTCAATCAAGGAAGAAAATAAGTGCAAGATTTAAACAACGAGATCCAAACAACAATGAAAAAAAAAGATGAACATCGATCAATGATTCTACTGCAAATCGAAGAGTTTGCTCCATCAGAACATGATTCTTCTCTAGCTTCTTCAACGCAACCTCTCTTACCATTCTCATAAAATTACACTTTACTCGAAGAATCTTTGCTTGTAACTTCCACTTCTTGTTTTCAAAGACCCTACTGCATCTTCGGCTATCCATCATCTTTGTATACTTTAAGTCATCAACTCTTTCTCTCGTCTCACGATCTCCAATGTTCAAGAGAACAATCAAAATAGTGGGATAGAAAGCTTGCTCTTGATCAAGTAGATTTTCAAGTGTTCCATATTTGTTAAGGTGAGAATCCGATTCCTTAATGGATCGATTTTCCTTTGATTTGTCTGGTGGTAGTTCTTTAGCGAGTTCTTTCTAGGTAGGTGAAGGATTCTAGGGCTAGGAGGCGGCGGAGGACGCCATTTCGGTCTCCGTGTGCTTGACGTTATCCTTCACTCGGTTGTTCATGTGCAGCCCCTAAACGAGAGAAGAGAGGAAACTCCACTCAACTCTCCTTTAGACTTTAATTTGGGTTGAGCGAACAAGAGAGGAGATGAGACTTCACTCAACTCCGACCTTTCTCTTCATTTTGAGCATGCCCATTCCATTCCTTTCTCTTCAAACTCGGTTGAAGAAACAATAGAGGAGACACAACAAGAATCGTCTTCTCTGGCAACGACTGAGTAAAAAAGGAGACGCAACAATGTTCTAGCGATGGCAACGAGAGTCGTCTTCTCCAGCAATGGCACTGGTTTCTTTGATTTCAACTTTCCAGCAGCACATTCGCTTGACATCATTGGTGTGAGGAGTTGGTTTTCAGAATCTCAGGTAACTACAAGTGTGAACAATGGCTACCATGCATTGCTTGAAATAGTTGATGGGTAATTAAGTCTTTTTGTCTTCTAACTGATGGTGAGTTAATGCCGGGTATTAAATCATCACAAAATGAAAGTTTAGGTATTAGATTGTCGCATTTTAAAGTTCATATACTAAATTTTCGACCTAAAGTACGGGGTACCTATTAGAAATTTTCCCTATTTTGAAAATATGAAGAATAGAAGAGGACAAATTTGATATTTTGTTTTTTGAGTTAGTAGTTAATAAAGAGGTCAATTGTAAAGTTAGTCAATTAGCTAAGTTATGAGGATAGTTTAAGACATTGAGAAAATTCTTGAACCGTATCTTAAACTTTGATGTTGTGTCAAGTCAGTCCCAAAGCTTTCAAACAGATCTCGTGTAATACCTTAAACAAGGGTTCACGGTGGACCGGGGAACTTCAAAAAGGGATTTGGTTCAAGGGAAGCTTGAAGATGAGAGCTCGTTAGATAGTAAGCTTGTATAGGGGAGCTTGTTGGATGGAGAGCTTGTTCCCTGTTTAAAATGATCACAAAAATATCATAAAGGATAATTTTGTTATTTTAAAAATAAATTAACGATATTGACTGATGGTCAATAACGGTAAAGACCTGTTAGACATAAATTGAAAATTTCGGGGACCGACTTGACACAACCCCAAAATTAAGCGTACCATTCACAAATTTTCCCTTGCCGAAATACAAATGAAAACCCTTGGAGCCTCCCCCCGCCCCCATCCAGTTATTCACACCTTATCTTCTCCCTTGGACCTTGGTTGCTCAGCTCGGAGCATTGAACTCAGCTGCAGAGCAACAAAATGGCAGATGAAGGCCCAACGGAACCGACCCTGGAGGACAAAGATGAAGAAGAACAAGAATATGAAGCAGAAGAGGAATCTTCTTCCTCTTCATCTTCTGAAGAAGAATCAGAGTACGACTCGGATGATTCCAACGAGGGAGGTGGTGACTATTACGGCTTCGAAGAAGAAGCCGAGGACGACGACTCCCCCCAGTCGAATATCAGGCGTTTCATGGAAGTCCTGGAGAGCAAGAGTATTAAGAGGGAGCAAGAGGAAGAAGAACGTGAAATCACTTACCAAGAGGACCTCTTCGATTTTCCTAAAGACCCAGAGAACTGGAGAGAAGAGGACCTCAAAGAGCTCTGGGTTGATGCTCCCGYTGACATGACGAAACCCGGCTGGGATCCCGCTTGGGCGGACGAGGAGGATTGGGAGGTCGTCAAAGAAGAAATTAAGGCCGGGAGGGACCCTGCCATTGCGCCGTTCTATCTCCCGTATCGGAAGTGCTATCCGGTCATACCTGACAACCATTATGACATATCGAACCCCAAGTCCGTAATCGAAGAACTCGACCGAATTGAGGAATTCCTCAAATGGGTCAGCTACATTTTCCCTGATGGAAGCTCGTGAGTGTAAACTCTCCCATTCTTGTTGTCATCCTTATGCTTAATTGCCTATCTACTTAATTTTCTCATTTGCTCGAATTTCCGTTGCTAGTGATGGATGATGGATGTGAATTTGGTCTAGTGCAGTTTTTCCCTAGTGTTCTTTAGATGGGGACATGCTATCTATGTGACATTGCGACCTATGAGCTTGAGCTTTTATTATTTCCAACACCAAGTTGAAGATTGAAGAACTTCAGTTCATTTTCCCGTCTTTAACTCTTATCCTAATGATAAATTGTATCATTTTCCAATTCACATTCCATTTATTTTTTTATCTGAAGTTTGGATAGAGTTTCCTGTTACAAGATTGCTAATTTAGATTACTGATAATTGTTATCATCTAAGCCTTTTCCCAATTATATGGGGTCGGTTGTTGATTTAGATTACTGATATGGTGATGTAATTTTTGTGTCATTATTTCCACTCACTTTTATATGTGATTGTCTCTTGTTTTGCATCTTTGTAAATAATTTTGTTTTTCCCTATATTGGTCGTACATGCTGTTTTGATTTTTAAGATCCATGTAGAACATATGTTCCTTTTGTCAAACACATATTTTATGATTGAAGAATCCGAGGGACAGGGGACCCTCAAATTAGTTAAATAACTTCTTCTATAACTAAGTTTTTTTACTCATTATTCCCACTCACTTTTATCTGTGATTGTCTCTTGTTTTGCATTGGAAAAACTGTGGCTGATGAGGATCTGGTGATTCTGATACATATTACTTTTCCTTTAATAAGACATTTGAAAATATTCCTTTTCTTATGGTATGTTTTACATGGGAAATTTAGTTTATATTTTTTGAAGAAGATAAAGAAAATTTTGAATTAATCATAGAAAGAAGGGGAAGACGGCCAGCCTTCAAAACCTGTATATCAAGGACCTATTCATGGCACCCAAAAGCATATATAGAAAACATAAAATAGTCAGTTAATTACAAAAAGAAGGTATCAAGCTCAACCTAAGACCCTGAAATCCCAGTGTATGGATTACTCAAAAAAAAAAAAAAAAAGAAACCCCAGTGTATGGATAGCTAGGATGTAATTATTCCAATAGTGTTTCTCAATACTAACTCTGTTGATTGGCTTATGTCCTTGAAAATTCTGCTATTGCTCCATTTTCTGATAAAAAAAATTCTGCTAATGCTTTCTTGCCACATGGTCCATGTGACTGTCAAGGGGGTAGTCCTCTTGAAAATGGATACCCTTCTGCTTAGGCCTTTTAATTTCCAGCACTTGAAATGATCCATGATAGAGTATGAGAAACACAAGGAGACCCCAAAAAGTTTTGTAGTGGGACCATATTTGTGTAGAAAATCTTCAGTGGAGAAACACAACTCACAAAGGGTGCAGGTAGTGGAATCTAGGGGCATGCCTCTTCTAACCAGGTTGTTCCTAATAGGACATTTTCCTATATGGCACTTCAGATCAGTGATTTAAAAGGTGCGCCTCAGGCGCGCCTAGGCGCACAGGCGAGGCACATTTTGGGGTATGCGCCTCGCCCAGGCCCTAGGCGCTCCCCTTTCAAAAGGCATGCACCTGGTGCGCCTAGGCATGCGCCTTGCGCCATGCCCCCTATTTGCTAATGTTGTTCATTCATTCTTTGCAATAAAATATCTTCTTAAAAGGCAATGAAAGTTATAAAATCATTATTTTTTATATGAGAAATAAGAATTTCAGACCCTAACATAAACTTGTTCGGGCTTGCCTTAAGGGGCGTGGTACAAAGACGACTCATAGAATCAAGAATGCAATATGTTTTACATCACATTAACTACTTTAAGCAATGCAATTAAGGAAAAAAAGAGATTCTGGTTTTTACATGCTTGAAAATGCTTTATATGTTTGCTTTTATTTTTAAATTTTCATTTGAATACACTTTACATGTTATGTTTATGTATTTTAATTTTAGATAATAGGTTTTTTAAATCATTATTTTAAGATTTAAGTTTATATTTTTATTAACATTATGTTTAATATTTTTTGCATTTTTTAAAATTTTTTGGCATTTTTTTGAATTTTCTGACTTTTTTTTGATTTTTTAGTTTTTTTTTTTGTAATTTTGCACCTTTCTTAAAAAGGTGCGTGCCTTGCCTTGCGCCTCAGACGCAAATTGACCCTTGTGCTTTTTTTGCGCCTTGCGCTTTTAAAACACTGCTTCAGATGAAGAAAGCAATTTCGGATGCAGCTGCAGTTTTCCAGATGGATTTTGTGGGGAAACCATTTATGTTTTATCACTGGGCCTTGGATCAGGGGTATTTGGATCCACATTTGTGTTGTAAAGTAATCTCAAAAGAGTAGATAAACCATCCAGCTCTCAGTGAATTTTAATTTATATCAATGATTAGTGATTGAAGACCTTGATTGGATGAAGTTGATGATCAGTTATCTGGATGCATATTTGCTTCATGAGCTATAATTTTTCCACCTGCATACGAAAATGCTTATTTATTTATTTACTTATTTTCATATGTTTTATATGAAGGGCACACGTTAGGTACATGCCCTATTCACTTTTTGTATTGCTTATGCTCTTCTTATGATGTACTTGTTGAAGGTACGAAGGTACTGTTTGGGACGATCTGGCTCATGGCAAAGGTGTTTATGTTGCTGAACAGGGATTGGTTAGGTATGTCTGTCCTTAGTACTCTCAGCTATGTCATGTTTAGCAAGTGTTACTGTGTTGTTTAATTTTCATGGTTCTTGCAGGATCTCTCTATTACCACATGTATTTTAATGTTAAACTTGTTCTCATGGTTCGGAGGTATTTTGATGCATTAGAAAATTGCCCTATGGTTTTAATTGGGTTCTGCCTTATCAGTTACTTTTTTTTTCTTGCTTGACAAATGTTATTTGAAGGTGCATAGGCTACTAGTGTTAATTTGGCCTGTATTCATCCCAAATTGAACTTTATTTGGAGGGAGAATAACTATTTGTTGTTGTTGTTTATGGTGGTGGTGGTGGTGGTGGTGGTGTGTATGTGTGCTTTCCTGCTTAATTGAAGAAATCAAATGTCTCATCATTCTATTAAGAGGTTTCTGATTATATAGATATGAAGGGGAATGGCTTCAGAACAACATGGAAGGTCATGGGGTTGTTGAAGTTGAAATACCTGGTATAGAACCTGTGCCGGGTTCCAAGTACGTATATCATTTCAAGTCAATAATCCTAGAACTTTTACTTGACATTTAATTCAAGCAACTCCATTTGACATCTTGTCTTGCCAGGCTTGAAGCAAGAATGCGTGCAGAAGGAAAAATCATATCCAGGGATTACATGTCCCCAGAAGATAGGGAATGGCTGGAAATGGACATTGAAGATAGCATCCGTTTAGCACGTGGAAACTATGAAATACCATTCACTGAAAATAAAGAATGGATCAGACTTTTTGGACAGAAACCGTAAGTTCCTGCATTTTTTTTTCAGAAGAAAGTAAAATAGATGTACAAATGTAAACAAAATGTTTACTTTTAGAGTCCACCCCTCAAGATAAAAGATTAAGGCATAGAACTATCACTGCACAAGAAAGTCTTTCCTAAGTTCTTATCCTCTGTTTATTGGTAATTGAAGTAAGCTCCCTAGGTATGGGTGCAAGTCAGGTTGGGTTTGGTCAGGTTGAGATCAATCCTAACCCAATTGGGTTGGGTTCAGGTTGGCCCAGTTTCTTCACTTCATTTCGTTAAAATGTTCCTATTTCTTAGACTTAAGATTAGGAGATTAAGGTTCACTGATTTTAGCATTTTCATACACATAAGGACAAAATTATGGTGCTTTAGGATTACTGTACTTAAATTATTATCAACTTTAACTTGACCCAGCCAATTTGGGTTAGGTTCAAGCTAATCCAGCCCAGGTTGCATGCTTGCACGCCTATATCTCTATGAATAGGGTGATTATGAGTTGTGCTTCTAGTCTTACAAACTTCGTATATATTGTATTTAATATGTAATGTTTTTCATATTATAATACATATAATATAATATGTATATATACTACACAATATATATCTATCTTTTGGGCAGGGTGGGCCTAATCTGCAAATTTCTGGGCATGATGTCGACTGGGGCCTAGGCCAGGCTAGGGAATGAATGCACCTACCTAGGAATCCATTCAGGTGAACTGGCAACCAAGAATATCCCTGATCTCATTAAAGAAATGCAATCTTACCAAAATAAATAAATGAATAAGTGCACCAGCAAGAGACATGAGCTGCAATCCTTGCTCCATCATGTTACATTGGTTGAGTCTCTTTCAGTGTCAAGGGTTGAGGGCTACGATAGATTGATAGTGGACACCTATATATGCCTTTCAAATAGTGTTTTGATACTGGATACAACATTGGATACTGCATGGATGCTTCTAGATGTCCTTAGTAGTATTAACACTTTTAAAATATGTAAATAAATTGGTATGTTTTTATACTACTATAAAAAATCCAAATATGTTAGAAACTTAATTAAATTGGGCAAAACATAAGTCTTCAGAAATGACATTTTGGATGAAACACAAAGGAAACTATTCCTCCTAATTTAAAAAATATAACTTTTACTTGGTCCCCTCTTTTCCCATTTTCTGCAATGCCCCCTCTCTCCCTGCTTTAGTTTGCTTGTGTACATGATGTGTATTTAGGGAAGGGGTTGCATTTATTGGTTTTGCTGAACTATCAGTTTCTTGTAGTACTCACACACTATCTCTTTTTTCTCATTTGTTGGCTTCGATTTTACCCCTGCATGTGCAAAGTTCTCTATTGATACTCCCTGGGTCTGTACGATACCTTAAACCTGTACCTGTCTCCTACTCTCTTTACTACTGACTATAACATAAGCCTGTGAAACTGTGAGAGTGTAACCTCATCCTTTGCCAAAATATTATGTTGAACAATATCATACTCTGGATTTAAGTCCTTCAGGAATTCAAATACTCGATTCATCTCAACCATACTTCCCTATACTAGACATGTATGCATACAGATTGAGACCATTCAAGATAATTTGTACCATCTACTTGAATGGTAGTTAGTTACAGGGTTAAAGAAGTCGTCGACAGGCCCTGTTGGACCAAGTCCAGACTCTATAGATTGCTTCAATTCAGCCCCAGATTGCTCTATTAATCCAAAACTTCAATGTGAAAGTTTTCAAAAACAAGAAACAGGGATAGCAACACCAAAACAACTAACTTTTAGTCACCAGGAAGCAAGAGAAAAAGGGTCCCAGCAACCTTGCAACCTGGGAGGAATTGTGAACAAGCAGCCGCTCCTACCAAAACTTCCACAATCTTCCAAAGGGGTGTCAATCTGAAAGGACCTTCAAATAGAATCTATGAAGCCAGAATCTTTGAGGAAAGAGAAAGAAATAAGGAGGCAATATTGGAGACTATTACAGTAAGAGTAACACACTGGGTGAAGACTTAGAAGCTATTTTCTGAAGATGGGTTAGGAGGCCTGCTAATGGGTTGGCGGATGGATTAGCTAAGTGAGGAGTAAATAGAAATCATTTGTTTTTGGCTCAATGTTAAAAGGGTGGTGGGGATCTTCGTTGTAAATGGTGTCATTCCTAACAACTTCTTGTTGTATTCTTTTTTTTTTCTCAAGTTTTAATAAAATTCTTTGAGTTGTTAATAAAAAAAAAGATCTATGAAGCCCCAAGTGCCAGCCTGAAAAAACTCTCTTGATCCTCAACTCAACCAAGGTCTTCTCTCTCTAGTTGGCCTAGGTTTTGGACTAAAAACTTACAAGTTAATTTTCTGTGTTTCAAAACTCTAATCTATGGCCTCCAAAACCTCTCTCCAACTAGGCAACAATGCTGATCAAAGAGAGTTTGAAATCAAAATAGAAGAAAAAGAGGGGAGAGGACCTGCTCTGATACCAAGAAGTAAAATGGGTCCAAAGATGAAGAAAGAACAAGAAAGGAAGAAGAAAGGTTTGGGTGATCTAATGAAATGCACAATCTCCAGCCCCCTTAAATCTATTTTATTAACTTAATGTTAATGTATCATAAATTACAGAATTACCCCTAATGGGGCAACAGTATAAAAGAAGGAAAATAAAAGATGTTAGACCCAATACAACCAATAAATACTAAATAAAAGAATCATAAATAAGTCCACTAAGAGCCCAAACCGATAGCTCAACAGGTTTCTTTCAGTTCTGATACTCTTTTAAAAAACTGAGGTACTCCTGCTGAGTTGCATCATGTTTGTTTTCATACTTAATTTCTTGATATACTGATAGTAATGTCCTTTTCCAGGGAAAAAGGAAGATATCGATATGCTGGGCAGTGGAAACATGGCAGAATGCATGGATGTGGTGTATATGAAGTCAATGAACGCCCCATATATGTAGGTGCATGAGAAACAAAACAATATCAAGGCCTTTTTTTCTATACTCAACTCAACAAAGCCTTTACATGAATCCTGTTATGATATTCTGCATCATTTAGTGCCATATCCATTGTTAAATTATGAGCTCTCAAATCAATTCTCACTACTCCAATCCATATCCACTTTGGTCTGCCCTTAGCTCTTCTTGACCCTTCAACTTGCAGCAGGCTACTTCTTATTGGTGCTGTAGAAGGTCTACTCTAAACATGACCATATCATCTTAGTCTACTTTCCCTCATTTTGTGACCTATATTTCTACAAATATCTCATTTTAAGTCCATCTTTCTAGTTTTCCACTCATCCATCATTTGCATTTCTGCTATACTAATTTATTGGACATGTTATTTTTTGACTTCCCAACACTCTACTCCATTATAACAGAAAAAATCTTTTAGCCCAAGTTATGTTCTCTAATTCATAGGACTCCGGATACACCTTTCCGTTTTGCCTATCCCATTCCAATTGTATGGGTGACATTCTTTTCAATCTCTACTTTGTTATGAAATTTCAATCCAAGGTAAGAAAAGATATAAGGGTATATGCTATTATCATAAAAGAACTTCAAGAATCTGGACATTTTGAGTGGATGCTATGCTATATATATGTTTTCGGAATCAAAGCCAAGAGAGTTTGATTTATACAGTGATGTCAATGTTAGATCTTAATGTTTCTGGGCACCTTCACAGATATGGTCTACAGTTTGTCACTTTGGGCTGTTGATGGTAGGCAACAAATCTATGACACATTGCACCAGTAGCCTCTATGGAGCTGTGGCCACTGATTATCTGTTCATTCATATTTGCGTCTATGATATTAATTATTTAATAGTTAATCCAAAACATAAAATCTATAAAGAAGTTTTGCATGTGAACTTTCCAAGTTCTGAACTTATTAGTTTTCCTTGTTACATAGTTCATCTTCCTCTTTGCATGTGAAATGCGATTATGTTATGATGCTTACCATTTTTTTTCATCTGAAACTGGTCACTTAGTTAGTTAAAGAAAAGAGCAGTACATGGACATGAGTGTGCTATGAACCCCATAGAGGCTAGAAACCCCACTCACCCTGCCCTCTCTCTCACTTATGGTTGTTACTTCTCTTCGTGGTTGGGAAATCACCCCCAATATAGGACCTCTCTGTTTTCTCCTTATCCTACCAACCTATCTGGTGAACCATTTGCTGAAATGTGCGTCCATGTGAAAGCTATGTTCATCTCTTCCACCAACCTGTTTTATCTTCTATATTGTATTTCTATGTTTCATTTATGATGCCTTAGTACCATTTAGCGAGTCTACATATTCACTCATATATTCTGTCTATTCAGGGTAGATTCTACTTTGGAGAGCTATTGGAGGATTCTACTGGTTGTGATGCAAATGTTTCAGCGGTATAGTAAGATTTTCATTCTTTGGGGAGGCATTTTACTGTTGATATATTCTAAGATTTCTTGCCTTTTCTTTTCAGAAACTTGAAAACTGGTTTTGACCATGAGAATTTTTTACTCTGGTATTTCAGCTACATGCAGGTATAGCAGAAGTTGCTGCTGCAAAGGCTCGAATGTTTGTTAACAAGCCTGATGGAAGTATGCATGTTTAACATCATAGTTTCATAGGGGAAAAAGTTTATAATACTAGGTTTATGAGTTATATTTCATGTTAAAACTGAAAGATATGTATCAGTATGGTAATTGAGTAATGAAGTGTCATGGAGGGAGAACATCCACTTTGGAGTAATGGACAATTCAAGTTACTTGGATTAGTCCTGTCTGTTGACTAGAAATATTTATCTCATTAACTTTATTTCTCCCCACCACATTGAAAACCAATGCATATGGATGCATTATGTTACAATCCATTTGTCCCACGTTGGTAGTATGGGATGCTAATGTGTGGTATCCCACATCGGTAGTATGGAATGCTGTCGTGGGGTATATATGTGCTTGGGTTCCCTCCCTCTAACAGCTAGCTTTTAGGGGTGAGTTCTCCTAAGACATGTATCAAATGGTATCAGAGCCTACACTATGCCTCCCAGTTGCAATCATGTGGCGCAGGTGGTGACGGTGGTATTGCAGTGTTCAGCTGGGACTAGGTGGACTAGTGCAAAGCCAGCCTGTGTGGGTGCTAAGACTGTGGAGCGTGGTGGAATGTTACGATCCATTTGTCCCACGTTGGTAGTATGGGATGCTAATGTGAGGTATTCCACATCGGTAGTATGGAATGCTGTTGTGGGGTATATATGTGCTTGGGTTCCCTCCCTCTAACAAGCTTTTAGGGGTGAGTTCTCCCAAGGCATATAACACATTAAAGCTACATAATAAGATGGAGGCTCTGCTTCATTGCAGTTAGAAATTAATTTACTTGGTGTAGCTGGGGCAGGTTCTATGGGAGACTTAGAAAGAAACCTAGGGCAGGTTCTATGGGAGACTTAGAAAGAATCCTGGGTAGGTTCTAAGTTCTTCGTGCCTGGTAGTTGCTCGTACTGCTCCTTTGACTCAAAGATCCTTTTCTGAGTTCATTCTCCAGTTTGATGGCTACTGCCTGAGCAGGCTATGTCACAGGGGTCAGGCAGGGACAGGAGGCAGTATTCTAACCTCCTCTGAAAATCTAGTTTGGGCCTTCAGTTAGCCCATTTGAGAGGCTGATGCAATTGAGGAAGTGTTTGCAACAACAAAGGGAACAACTAGATGTCACAAGGTTCTTAGTGAGGTTGAAATCAAAGTATGAACTAGTTAGGGCCCAAATATTGGGGGGCTCTACCCTTCCTACACTTGAGGAAGTGTTTGCTCGGCTTCGTAGGATTTCTTTGGGACAGACAGGGAATCCTACACAGTCTGATAGATCAGCTTTTGTAACAGCCAGAGGAGGTGGACGTGGTACGAAAGGGGGAGGACATGCCTCCCGAGGAGGTCGTGGTGGTTCCATATTTGGCCGTGGTGGTGGT